AATGTCCAATAGTAGATGGGTTGATTGAAACCTGACTAATTTTGCCACCCACCTACAAACTACTTGTTTTCCATGCCTCAGTTCTGTCCCTTTTTTTGATCCCCCACCCAGGTTTGATTCTTCCATTTTGTTTTCCTACATACCTCATGCTTGGGTAACATGCGGTCTAACCTATGTGTGTTAATATTATTGTTTGATTATAATGCATTAATATTTTATGTGGCAATATTATGCTGCCTTATTTTCTTTTTTGTAAATAATTTTATATCTTGCAATTTAAAATTGCTTAATTAAATTATTTTCCCTTTAACCATCAGGTCCCAACATCAAACTCCTTACAAAATAATCAACCAGCTTATTCCCATCAACATGTATCTTTGGCTTTTCAGCAGAAGCCACAGCTTACTGCCAGGAGAACTAACAGTCTATCTGGAACATCAGGAGTGCAATAGCCTAATATAGTTATATTTTCACCGTGAACCTCATTGATTTGGGGATTTTGTACATTTCTGACCAAGTGTTATCCACAATCCTGAAGAAGCTGCTGACAATGATGTATTTGGTATCGTGAGTCAAGTACTGGCCAACCTTGATTAATTCTTTCATGCTCAAGGTTCTAATGAGAATGTTTGCCAAGCCATCTTTCTTCACCGAGGACAAACTTTTCTTAACACACAATGAAAAACAAAAACACTTTCAATAACTGTGTGTGGCTTTTCAGTGTTTGTGAAACCACTGTGGTAATGAATGCATTTTAGACAGGGGTGAGAGGAACATACAGTACAAAGTAAATAAATGCTCCCATATTGCTGAAGAACAATGGATTCTGTCTGATTGTGCTATCCGTTCCTGCTATCTTACCACTGGTGACTCGCGTTTCAGGATGAATTGTTCATAGTGGAGTCATTGACTTTATGGTCTTCTGCTCCATGACAAGGTTTCTTCACAGTGGACTACCAGCAGCCTGCTTCGCTAGTCAGTTTGCCTTCGACACATCAGCACTCATTCTAAAGTTTTAAGATGTTTGTTTTAAATATTCAAATATATCTCTTATTAGTGCTGGTGTGCAGCTGTTTTATAAAGCAGTAAGAGTGCTGGAAGAATCTTCTAGTATGCTTTTTTCGAGAGTTTAATGTACAATTGTAGTTTGCATCCTGTTTTTGTTTTTTTTTTGCTTTTTTTTTTTATCACAGCCAGTGCCATTACGTATATGTCCCTCGTGGATATGGAGACCTAATATCAGACATTCAGGTCTGGTGACATTTTACTTGGCTGTATGTGGAATAAGGGTTAACCACTAAGTTAATTATAAACCTTAAGAGTAATATTAGTTACTAGTTTAAAAATTCTCCATACTTTATTTCAAATTGACATTACTACTTTGAAATTCCACCAGGGAAACCCACACTGTTCCCTCAGATGGTTCCCCAAGTTGAAGCAATTTGTGGGAAGTTATTAAAAAAGTTAAAATTCTCAGGTTTTCAGCTTAATGAAAAAGCTGCAAAACATGAGACTTCAAATGGGACTTGTAAAATAGTCTGTCACCTGCAAGGATATTAATCAATATATTAGAAAAACAAATCTTCCTATTTATTAATGTGGTATTAATTATGAAATGCTCAGGAATTTTTGTTGTCTTGGAAATTATGAACTACTTAAACAAAAAGTGGTAACTAAACATATAGGTCGTTTTAAACTCTGTTGATTAATGTGTTTGTTCAGTAAAGAGTGAATTTTGTGAATTTTGGTGACATGCCTACCAACGTTCGTAATGTATACCAAAATAGATTAGGTAGACAAAAACATCACACCTTTTTTTCCATCCCTGGATATTTTGCCTGAATTGTGCAAGCTTCCTGTTGGATACCCCTAAGAGACAGATCCACGTTAAAGACGAATATTCATTAAATGTATCTTTTTTTTGTTTCCCTCCCTCTTGCATAAGTTTAGCCACATCATTTTAGTGTGGTGCTTTCTCAGCAGATATTATATTTTGTTAATCCTTACAGCACTGAAGATTTTGTTTAAACTGTGCCTACCATACCATCTTCCAAAGTAGATTCCCACTAAATATGGTGGGTACAATCTATTTGCAAAGCATCAACAAGCCAATGCAGTTTAATTTGCAAACTAAAAAAAAGTTTGTGCTAGGATTTATTTAATGTTTTATAGCACTTTAAAGAGTCAGTGAGGATTAACCTCAGAGGTTTACATTGTGATGATGGCATTAACACTCAGTACACATTTAGATATATATTTGTACAAGAATAAAATATTCAACATACTATATGTTTAGAAATACTGATTAATCTATGAGCATCAAATGTTGGTACAGATGAAAAAAGGAATATTGCAAGGCCAATTTCAAGCAACGCTGCACCTTACTAGTTTGAAACAAAAACCTACAGATTTAATTTTAAAAAGCACTTTTTATTTTTTGTATGGTTGATATGTTTCTATTGAAGAGAATTCTATGGAACACTTAAAACAAAGAGTAGTGTATTGTAAAATTATTGTAATAACAACCTATTTCTATATAAAATTACAACAAAAAATAATATTGTGAGTCTTTTATTTGTCATATACCTCAAATGCAATATTTACTTTGAAGATGATTTTTTTATTTTCAATTATTTCCTAGGTTACATTTTTCTCACATCAATGTTTGATTGTATTTATAAAATTAGAATAGTGGGCATCAAAATAAAGGTTAGTTTTTGTAATGATAACATTTGGCAGCTTTTGGGATACAAAATGGAAGACATTAACTCTGCATGTATGTTGTACTCAGGGCCAGCCCCCTCCCTTCAAAATGCATCTTCACCTGTGTCTCTTAAAATCACTTTTAAAATAATAATGACATATATACACTAACTTATGAATCATTGTCATAAAAACACAAAAAATAAAATATACATACAAATTATAAGTTCCTGCATTTTTGAGACAAGTAAAATATGTACAGAAGTAAAAATAAATTAGTTATAGCCTGGTACTAAACAAAAAAAAACTGTAAACAGAACAAGTATTCAGTAAGGTGGGAACATGGTTAAAGTCTGTATTCTTTTTTTCACATCATCTTCCCACAAGGGCCATTCATGCTGTAGTATAGATGTGAATGTAGATGGTTCACAGAAAGCTAGTTCACACTTTTTACTTTCAAATACTGCAGATAGAACTTCACCCACAGTTGGAATAGTGGGTGATTTCCAGTGTCCTTTAAATTTCTTACCCCATCTAGTGTATCTTATCCCCTTTTGTGTATTATACCTGCTTTAGTTTATCTTATCCCTACTGGCACGAGGGGGAGCACTGACCTAGCACGTCTCAGCCAGTGTGCTCTAAGGTGGCCATCTGTGCCGTTTTATGGTTGTTCCAGCTCTGGGTCTACTAACTTCTAACTGGATGTGATGCATTAATGTAAAAATAAAAAAAACAAGTTATTTCGGATTGTGGATTTTTTTCATTCACATTTAATTTTAGTTATGTGCTTTCATAGCTCATCCTTGTATAATATGTTAAATTTAAGTTAAGTGGAGAGAGCGAGGAAGAACAGTGTAAGAGGAGAAGACAAATGTAACTAATTGTAAGATATCTTGCACCTGTCAGCAAGACTAGAAGGGTCCGAAAGTAAGAAACTAGAGGCATTAGGACCAGAGATCGGAAAATTGATAAAGGAACACAACACTACAAGCACCATAACTTCTACAGCACTCTCTAGTGGTTAGGGTGCCTAGAGTAGCTAGTCTGAGCCAACTTTCTGAGTTGGCTCTAAACTATAGTAGCGAGTACATCAATCAGATGTGAATGTAAGGATTCAGGACCCTCAGAAAGTGTCAAAAAGTCTTCTGTGTTGGAAATCAGGAACCAGGTCACCAAAGTAAATAAAAGTGAGTATATTTATTTAAACATTTATAAAATAAAGTAGAAAAAAAGGCACTTTTATTTACTTTGGTGATCTGGTTCCTGATTTCCAACACAGACACTTTTTTCTACTTTATTTTATAAATGTTTAAATAAATATACTCACTTTTATTTACTTTGGTGACCTGGTTCCTGATTTCCAACAAAGAAGACTTTTTAACACTTTCTGAGGGACCTGAATCCTTACATCCACATCTGATTGATGTACTCGCTACTATAGTTTAGATCCAACTCAGTAGGGCTCTAAATATTGTGAGTTTTTCCAAGTATTTTTACTAGTATCTGTGTTAAGATATATTACCCTATGATGGTTTTTTTATACTTACAGAATCTAGGGATTATCCACTTAATACGAAAATATCATCTACTGTGTGCTCAATCACCATATTCCATTTCCATCAACCCACTGTAAGTAGTCAAATTGTACATTTTAGTACAGTTTGACAACTTACCTGTGTACCATAGACCCCTGCACTACATCTGAAATTCTCCTGCAAAAAAAGACAGATGTCACTGCAGAGTTTAAGTCTGGCTCATCTAGGATCATGCTTGTTGACTGAAAACATTTATTTTATGTTCTCAGCCAATTAATGTGGTCCTGCTTAGCTCTGTAGAACTAACTGGATTCTCCTAAAGGAGACGACCAAAGCATTGCGGCTTCAAGTCTGTGGCGGGGCTCAGATAAGTTGTTAAGACTACTAAGACTATTTGGATAGTGGGTTGTAGTGGTTATAGTGCTTGGAGTGTTCCTTTAAATAGCCTCATACAAAAAAATATGCTGGGAACCACAGCTAGTCTGAGCCAATTCTTATTATTTATATTTTTCCTCTCCATCTCTTTTTAGTTTTCTACCCATATTGCCATTCTTAATAACAGTATAAGAGGTTCCATTGTTTTAACTACTTCTATAAATTAAAGTATTCCATTACGTAATGTATTAATAATTATTTGTACAATCTAAATTTAAAACAATTATGTATTGGGCTGCTTGGGAAGCAATCTTGGAGCAATGTGTGGAATACATCCTTGTATTTTAAATTTCCCCACAAGAGGGCAGTCAGGGCAAAGCAGTGGCTCACGTTTTTCCCAGCATTGCACAGCAAATGTTGATTCCTTCCAAGATCACATGCCATCATCAAAATGTCTGTGTTCAAACCATCAGCTTCTGCAGGCTGCCTATTGTGGCTTTTTGTGTGCAGTTTGCTGTCCCATTGTCAAGGATATGTAATACTAAACTCAGTGTCGTGGTCAGTAACCAACGAGGTGGAGGAAGAAATGGACAGTTCCTCCACTGAAGATACTCTGCCAGCCCTGCTTGAAGATACCATCAGCATGTGGAAGCAAAGCTACCCAGCTTCTGCGTACAAAGAAGCCAGAGAAACCAAATCCAGGCCAGAGCCTGAGCGTACCAAAACAATCTCCTCTCCCTCAAGAATGTTCTCCTACAGGAGGGAGGGTAATACAGTTCCAGAAAGGCCTCCCTCACCTGGAGGTGCCCTCTTAATCAAATTAGCAAAAAATGCCCGTATACTAGCCCACCAGAGCAAATGGGGTTTCCTGGCAACATTGCCTGCTCAGGAGATGGTAAGTGAAATTTGTAACCTAGTGGGAAACAATCCACTGGCACCCTGAACTTATTAACTCCTTTAAGATCAATGGCATGCTGGGACTGTCACAATAGCAGGGAATCTGACCAAACCTTGTCCTGTAGCGTTTAGGGGTTAATGCTGATTATGCATTGTTGCACACAGTGCTAATCTTTTGTGTGATTTTGGATTTCTCTAAAATACAGATAGTGTGTCATCTTAATGTGCCATTATTCGGACACCTTGGAATCGTTGATAAAGGTTTGTTACAGTCTTTGGAAAAATGCATGTTACGCCGGTTGTTATCACTCCATATTGTATACAATAATCATTATTATTGTTAGACTGTAAGCTTGTTTGAGCCGGGCCTGCTTAGCACCTTTTGTTCCTGTACGTCAAACTTGTCTTGTTGCAACTACTTGTTTATCAGTGCACCTATTGTAGAGCGCTGTTGGCGGTTTACACATAATAATTATTATTGTTATATATCATTTATATAGTACCAACATATTCTACAGTTATGTACAACAGAGAATTGAAATAATGACAAAATCAACAGAAAAAGAGTGTTCTGTTTAATTGAGCTTACAATCTATGAGGTCAATTATAGAAGTATGGAAATGTATTTGTTTAAAGGGACACTATAGTCACCAAAACAACTTTAGCTTAATGAAACAGTTTTGGCATATAGATCGTGCCCCTGCACTCTCAATGCTCAGTTCTCTGACATTTAGGAGTTAAATCACTTTGTTTATGCAGCCTTAGTCACACAGTCCTGTATGTGACTTAAACACCCTTCCTAAACACTTAATGTGTCATCTAATGTTTACCACTTCCTTTATTGCAAATTCAGATTAATTTGGAATTTCTTATCCCCTGCAGTGTTAATAGCTTGCTAGTCCTTGCAGGAGCCTCCTGTATGTAATTAAAGTTCAATTTACAGAGCAGGAGATAAAAACTTTTAAAATAAGTAGAATTTGATTGAAAATGAAACCCAGGGAAGGTGTGTCTAGGGCTTCATAAACAGAAACAAAAGTTATTTAACTCGTAAATGGTAGAGAATTGAGAAGTGAGACTGCAGAGGCAAAACAATTTAAAGAACAATATTTTAAACTGTCAAAGTTATAAAAAAAAAAAAGAAAAGCTGACAGAGCATAGTGACACATTGTACACTCTACTGGTCTCCTCTACTTCAGTGACAAGTCACTTTAAACCAGAATTTACTTTGATCATCAAAAAATACCTACTGTCTGGTAAACTGTATAAACTACAAAAAAATAGACTATGGCAAGTAAGATAATCAAAAAATAATACACTTCCATTAAATAAATATGTATGGCAATCTACTGACTTAAAGGATTTGCATGACTGGGATATCAACTCCAAAATCTCTTAACTGCATTTCACATAAGGCAGTTACTTGACTGCCACCCATCCATAACATTTGCACCATCCTACTCACATTTATATTGGACAGGCTGTGATCTACCCTATTATTGCAATATATTTTGCTTATATTATATATTGTCATATATAATCTCAACCTAGCACACAAACTGTAACTGTGAAGCAAATTGTATCCATTTCCTATGCTTTATCATTTCCCAATCATTAATAGATTTCAAAGGAAGATAACTAAGCTACTAACAGGAGTAAATTAACTGTAAGGCAGGTTTAGCATTATAATCATCTGTGCCCCTCCTTCTACTAAAATAAAAATCCTAAATGCTCAAGCTACCATACCTTGCAAAATTTCAAATGACAAAGAGGGACACTTTAATGTAGGGGGTGTGATTGAGAATGGGCCGGGGCAGGAAGTTTTGAGAAATTACTAATGACAATTCCTGCTACTAAATAGTAATTTAGAACAATAATAAAGTATGTTATTTACCCAAACTGGTTTCTAAATACGTTTATTGTAGTTTGGTCCCTTAAGGACGGAGTTAATTGCCCAAGGTCTGAACTAAAACCGAAACTTGAATTTGCTCAATGTGTTAGTTACACTTAAAGAGAAACAATGGTTTCTCCTTAGGAGGGAAAGTCCCTATTTTGGGCCCAAGTTTACCTGTTCATTATTGGAAGTATGAGCTATTCATGTGGCATTGATTCTTTGTTGTCACTGGCAGTCCACATGGCTTTTCTACAGAATTTTGGCTCCCTTGGACAGGTAACCACTTGCATTTTTAGTACATTTGTGTTGTACTTTAAGATTGATACTTACTGTAATAATGATACAATAGTTTTGTAAACACACACTAACTCTTTAAACCATAACCACTACAATGAGCTGCAGTGGTCGCCTATTTAAATTAAATTACACTTGTTTTGTATTTTGTGATAGCTGCTAGGCTAATGATCATTCTGGCAGTATTCATTATACTGTGTGAATGTTTTAGGCTACCCAATAAAATTAGTAGTAAATTCTCAGCATAAAGTGTTAATTTGCTCAATAAAATGCAACATAATTATTTTAATGTGAAACTAGGAAAAGTAGTAAAGGGAAGGACTAGAAGCCATTTTTCATGTTTTAAATTAATTTTTGAGAAATAAAGTGAAGCTTTTTTATCCAATCCTCTGGCTTTTACATAATTGCTGGTGCTGCTGGTTTCCTGATATATCCACATACCTTTTGGTGGGGATCATACCACCACAAGTTATCATCACCAGAGCAAGTTATTGCTCTGGACACTGTAAGTAGGATATCTACATTTTCTATTCCAATTTTGGCTTTAATATTGTACAATTGGTTTTTGTATTTTGTCTTTTTTTTTCATATATATGGTTGCTGAGTTTGGACATCCCAACATCTACATATCCTAAGACGGGGATTGTACCGTCCAGGCGCTATACACCAGAGCTCTTAGCAGCTCTGCAAAGTGTGAGTTTCCCTTTCATCTAGAATTTTACATATTTTAACATTTATTATTTAGAACATATTGCACTATTATTTTATTGTTTTTCTCTCCTTTGAGGTTTTTTCCATGCTGTATTAACCGAGATCTATATGTATGTATGATATAATCATTTTATTATTGTAACACATTTTCTGGCGCGGTTTCCCACTTTTCCCATTTCCACACTTCTGTTCACTACACAGCAGGTATTGGGAGGTCCTGCTGGTTCACTGCTGCCTTACACATTTTTGATTTTATAGAGAGCGCCTAAACTTCTCTTTACTTATTATTATTTTAATGTATTATAAAATGACAACATATTTAACAGCGCTGTACAATGAGTGGACAAGTTTGGTTAAAGGGACATGGATGACTTGACAATGTCACCAGACAGTGACAGTGACTGATTTCCCTCTCTTTGTGTGGGGAAATGCTCAGATTCCTGAGTTGTATCACCAGCCCAAAGGGGTAATTTGGTGCCAACATTAGATAGAGGGCATTACCAGTGCATTACATATTATCTTGCTCTCGTTCCCTTCAGAGGAGGATTAATAGCCCACTGGGCCCTGTTTGGGGCCCATCTTATAACAAGCAACAGGTTGGCTGATTGACATGGGATTTGTGGTTTTCTGTGTCAGATGTTAATTTTCACTGCCCAGTGTTTCAAATAGGCTGCTGGACCATTGTGATTGCTTCTTAAACAGCCCTATGCCATGCATGAAGACTTTAAAGTGTTATTTAATGTACTATGTAACAAAATTTTACTATGTAACAAAATTGTTATTTAATGTACTATGTAACAAAAATGTACTATGTAACAAAATTGTTATTTAATGTACTATGTAACAAAAATGTACTATGTAACAAAATTGTTATTTAATGTACTATGTAACAAAAATGTACTATGTAACAAAATTCCTTTTTTCCTTTATTTGATCAGGATGTCTCATTGGGTCATGTTCTGCTAACCAGTGATGGTCCGAAAGAAAATAGTACTGGAGTACCCTTCTCTTATGTCCCTCTCAATGCCAGCTTTGTCACAAATTTATTGAAGAATCCAGTCTCTTCTTTGACATTTGCAGATCCAGATGGGGGTATATTCAGGTATGGAAGATTGTTTTTGTTTTTTTCAAATGAAAATATTTTGCTTGCATGTAAGTATAAATTGAATTGTTTATTCATATAAATTTAACTGATACAAAAAATATCCAAGTGTATTAACCTGTAACTGCATTTAATTTATATTACTAGACACAATGTTTCACATACAAACCTCATAGATTTCTAGATGGAGTGTGAGGTTAGCAATGAACTAACATGATTAAAGAGACACTCTAAGCACAGAAATCACATTGTGATATAGTGGTTTTGGTACAAGGATGCTGTCTAGTTTTCTGTGTCCGTTTTTGAACTGGCAGTAATGCGGGGGTAACTGGTACACCTGCCTTCAGTATACTTTGAAAATGGATTAAAAAAAAACTCTTTTGACTTTTATCCCACCATCATTAGTGGTCCCAGCATTACTTAAAAAAACAAAAAATAAAAAAAAAACAGCTTATGATATTGCCTACATAATCAATGTATTGTCAGTATGTGGCTGTTAGTAAAAGAAAACTACTATGTATCCATGCAAACACAAGAGAAGTGCTCTGCGCCTTTTTCCTAAATTGTCTTCATGTCTGAAAGTGATGGGAGTTGCACTAGACAGAATCTCCAGTGACCTCATTGGATATGGGATGTGCCCAGAAAGTCAGGGTGTGTGCACTCTTGTACCCTGTGCTTGAACAGTATCTGCAATTATGTCTGTCTCCGTAATGATACTGCACTCTGACAAATACGTCATAATTAAAGAGTCACAGTGATGACACACAACATTCCTAACTCACTATTCAGTTGTGCTTCTGAAACTGCATCATTTCAGTATATGCTTTATCTAAGGAAACTGAAGTGACTCTAAATATTCAAAGATGTTGTCCAGTCCATCATTTCAGGTTAAGCAAATATATTAAATATATTAAATAAGGATTTTTCCATTTGTATTCTTTCAGAAAGAGCTCAACTGAAGCAGAAAACTCCCATTGTGCATCTCTGACCCTTAAAGGGCACATGAAACCTGTGCCTTCGGAAGAAGTAGACTTTGCCAGGAAAGCATTATATTCCAGGTACATGAATTTGTTTTAATCCTAGATATACTTCTATAAAATATAATGCATTGTCTGTGATTAGAGTAGTAAATTAGTGATAAAGGCATGGAAGAGGGATGGAATGAATAGACGAGATGCATTGTTAATTAAACCAGCCAAAATCAATTTGGAAACAAATATTCCAATTAATATATTTTGGCTGAATTACGTAGTCTTTTTCTTAATTTTCAGCAGTTACCATTTTGTGAATATTACCAATTATGTCTTTATTAAATGTTATCAATTGGAACGTCGCGGAATGGGTATGCATTTCTGTAATTTAGTAACATTACTGAATGCGCCTTTGTAAAATAAAATAGGCTACCCATAGACCCCATTAATCACATTATCACTGGCCAAGGTCCAACTGGGGACATAATATAATTGGCTTTTATCGGTCCACTTTGGGTTCCGAATACCCTATTGATGCCTTTGGGGTGGAGCTAGAGGAGAAGACAATGAAAGCATTAACAAAAGCTATGGCACACTACAGCAATACAGACTGCCCTTGTAATGGAGATGTAATAAAAATATTGGTGCAGGATGCCTTGTTGGTAGTAGTGATAGAAATATATCACAAGAATGATGGATAGATTTGTTGTGTGTTTCTCCACCTTCCTTTAGGGCTCTTCACAACCCTGTTACCTCATGTTTGTATCTTCTTACCCCCTTTCTTTATCTCTAGACTCAGGTCTAGGTGCAATACAGGGAATCCCATACAATACACAGAACCATAATTATCCCACACAACCAGGGTTACTGTGGTGGACACAGAGAACTACAATACAGAGAGAGAGATATACCCACACAGTACAGTGTCTCTGTATAATGTTCCAGCTTATAATGTGCCTCTTTGCCATCCTCTAGCCCTCTGTGAGCTCATCGTCGGTAGTGCTAGTGATATAAGTGAGTTAAAGGACCACTATAGTGCCAGGAAAACATACTCACCCTCAGGGTCCCCCTCCCGCCCAGCTCTGGAAGGGGGAAAGGGGTTAAAACTTACCTTTTTCCAGCGCTGGGCGGGGAGCTCTCTGCCTCCGATCCTCCTCTGTTCCTCCCCGTCGGCTGAATGCGCACGCGCGGCAAGAGCTGCGCGCGCATTCAGCCGGTCGCATAGGAAAGCATTATCAATGCTTTACTATGGACGCTTGCGTGCTCTCACTGTGATTTTCACAGTGAGAATCACGCAAGCGCCTCTAGCGGCTGTCAATGAGACAGCCACTAGAGGATTTGGGGGAAGGCTTAACCCATTGATAAACATAGCAGTTTCTCTGAAACTGCAATGTTTATAAAAGAATGGGTTAAGCCTAGCTGGACCTGGCACCCAGACCACTTCATTAAGCTGAAGTGGTCTGGGTGCCTAGAGTGGTCCTTTAAGTCTGAAACTTAAGATTTCTAGTAAGTTTAGCTGCTGCTATGAAACATCAGCCACACCAAGATGGCCTTTTCGATTCTGTCCTGTGGGATCTGTAACCTCATCCCCTGGTGTGATGATCTAATGATGGCCCCAAAAAGAGAGGCCATTGGCATGTCTTTTGACATGCCTAGTTGTTCTCAGTAAAGCTTTTCCAGCTACCAATCAAAGGGGTACTGCAGTAATGAAACCTATTTCAAAATTGAAGAGACAGATATTCTTTTGTTTTGACACACATATAGGCAATGGCTGGAGTAGGTTAATCTACTTATTCCCCATATTATTTTTAGCCTTTACCACTCACCCCCATAAAACAAAATGTTAGTGATAATTACTACCACCAATATTTTTTCCACAATAAAACTGGTGGGATGCTGCCCAAAGTCCCCCTATGGATGACCCATAGCCCTCTATACTCCTTGAGTGTTTCTTAACCTCCCTTACATCCCTTGTGTTACCTTTCACTATGGTAGTGTGGTCGCTGGGAATCATTATCTTTTTCTTGGTCTTATTGGGCATGTGAGTGGTCAGGGAGGCAGAGGTATGAAGTTCCCAGCCCCCACTCTCCTCCCATTCCCTTAGGATACCACTGTCTCAACTTTAACACTGTTATTTTAATGTGCAGTGGGAGTACACTGTGCATGGAGGGTGTGAGGATATAATGTTATATAATATACCTGCCCCGCCAATACTTCGATACAGCCACCATTTACATTGGGATATTTAATTTGCTTGATGCTTTTGCATCCCAGTAACCTTCCATGTATGTAGACTATTTTTTTTTAATATATATGGAACATGATCTCATAAACCAGTCGTGGATGTCTACATTGACTATTATATCTTTATCAGGCACCCTTTCATGAAGAAGTGGCTTCAAAATGATGAATGGCTGCTTATGCAGATGAACACTGAGTACATCTTCCTGTCAGACTGCTATGGAGTAGCACTGAACATTCCTTTAGAAGATTACTATAGAGCAAATCCCAACTGAATGGGCTTCTGAAACATTGTTTGGTACTGCTGACACTGGCATACTCATTACTGTTTGGAAAATGTTTAATGAACCACCAGTGGAAAATATGGATTTCTTTCTACATAACCAGGAATTACCAAGGGGGTGTTTTAACCATAATCACACCAGCCAATTAAAGAAGATCTGTCAGAAAACTAAAAATATATATTTTATTTACATGAATCAAAGCCTTAAATAGTGTAATACTTTTTTGATTTGTGTCAAGTTATGTTACATTTTTATTATGTTTACTGACATATTTTCCATGTGAAAAGGTGACATGGCGATTTGCTGTATTTCCAGTGTTCCAAGATGGAATTCAGGCCAGATTTAGATACAAGATCATTCTGAGTTAAACAGCTACAGACATCTTCACCAATTGGCTTTTTAGATGTTGTAGGTGAAGCATACCTAGATGTGGGTTCTATATACTGCCAGGTTTCACAATCACTGGACAACCTCATAACTGGCAAAAACACAGCCAAAGTGTAAAGCCTAGGCATAACATAGACAAGGACTGATAACAAATAAAGGTGTGGTAGCAAAGGTAGTTGTGATTATTGTTTAGTCACCTTGTGCCACTTAAAAAATATTAAAAAGATTTTATAAAAAGATTAAAAAGTTGGTTTAAAAAAAAAGTTTTTTAACATTCTTTCTTGTTTTTTTTACATTGGTTTTCTTTTGATTAACAATAAAGCTGTAATGTATGGTCTTGTTACAAAACTATACACACTTTATATGTCATACGTGTATTAAGTGCAAAACACCCACAATGCACTGTTCTTGATCACAGAATTAAAAAAAAAAAAAAAAAAATTTTAAGTCAGTATATGATTAGGGATGGATCTGAGTTTTCTCTTGTCAGTTAGGCTGGTTAGCGTCTTGCAATTAAATCTCTATGGATGTGTATGTTATGTCAATATATATGCATTGTTATTCTGATGAACTTATAGCATGCAGTAAAAACATGTAACTGCAATGTGATCTAAACTGTATTTTGTGCATAAAAAAGTGTTGAACTACTCGTGTGGACCTTTCCACTACGAAGAGACAGATCTTAACAATGCTATGAGCTATTATCATCTTTGCATCCCTTGGTAATCAGGAGCTCTGCAATGCCCTTGTGGAGAATATGAATGAATTTAACAAATATTCAGACTAATAACCTAGGTGAAGAATACCAATAAAAGTGTGTTGGACCTTCTTAAAAGTATACAATGTGCACATGTAAAAAAAGGTTTCCCCAATACCTTACATAAAAGGCATACAAACCAACAAGGATAATACACCAATGTGTGAACACACACACAATAAAATACTTGTTATAGAGCAGGAACAATAATGTCTCCACTCATTTAGTAGTATAATGGTAGTGGCATAGTGTAATCTGTATAAATATATAATGCAATAAGTAAAAGAATGGAACTCACAATCTGTGGAGCTGTATCAGGCTCTGTAGTGTGCGCCCGGGGTGCCTATTCAGGCCTTAGGATCCATAATACATTTATTGAATACAAATTTACACAATTCGATATTCAAGCCAGCATTTTAAAAACATTTTTGAGGAAAAGAATTACAACGCCATGAAATAAGATAAGCAGTTACAAGAGGTTAGATAGCCATAAAGGGATTATTATGAATAATATAAAGACAAAGAGAAAAAGTCCAAGTGGATCATTGTATCCAATATAAGGGTATCCCCACTATTTTAGATTTTAACGGTGATGCTATATATATTTTAATTCATTCTGGCATATTTTAACAACTGATACATACCTTGTGAAAATAATATGCAATAAATGTATTATCATTTATCAGTGTGCAAGGAATTTAAAACACATTTTTTATTAGTTTTATTAAGGGGACACTATAGTCACCAGAATAACTACAGCTTAATGTAGTTGTTCTGGTGAGTATAATAGTTCCCTTGAGGCTTTTATCATGCAAACACTGCCTTTTCAGAGAAAAGGCAGTGTTTGCATTGCATCTAGGGACACCTCCAAGTGGCCACTCCTTAGATGGCCACTGGAGGTGCTTCCTGGGTCAGTGCTGCCAAAAAAGCAGCCCTGACGTTCAGAGTCCCCACGCTCTGCATGGAGACGCTGAATTCTCCTCATAGTGATGCATTAATTCAATGCATCTCTATGAGGAGGTCCTGATTGGCCAAAACGGCATTTGGCCCCATTGGCCAAAATCGGCCCTTTTGATGGTGTCACAAAGGGGCGGAGCCAGCGCCGGAAGACCCGAACGGCACTGGAAATAAGGTGAGTTTTAAACTTTTATAAGGTTGGGGGCAAGCCACCTAAATGGTGGGTTTAGCACTATAGGGTCAGGAATATATGTTTGTGTTCCTGGCCCTATAGTGTTTCTTTAAAAAGCATGATCAGGCTATTCTATTTAACCAAAAGAAAATATTCTACACCTGTAAAATGTGTTGAGCGTGTAAAAAATAAAACATTTTTTAAAAAGCAACACAGACACAGTTTATCCCAAGTTCCACAAATAGCCTGCCCTTCGGTGGGTCCCCGCTCAGATCTCAAGCTGGTTTTAGCTCAACTTGTGCCATTACAGAGAGAAAATCTCTGAAACATATCAGACTGGGCCCACCCATACAGGCAGTCCAGATCCGAAATGCCCGTAAGTTCCCTCTGCACAAGCGATATGGCAACCCCAGACGATCGTTTCAACCTTGTAAGGTATCATCAGTGAGGTATAGCCAATATCCCTCTAGGCACAGTGAGCAAGGTGTCCACGTCTGGATTACCCTTTACACTTAAGGAGAGAAAAAAAGAGAAAAAGTGTGTTGACGTTTCAGTCCCAGCATGGGACATTCCTCAGGACAGCATATATATATATATATACGATGTATTTTATACTGTGTTGTGTTTTTCATTGCTATACATTTTAGTAATTTTATTTATTTTAATTTATTTGTATTCAATAAATGTATAATTATCCTCAGATTCCCATCTTCTTCCTGACTTGGATCCTAAGGCCTACATAGACACCCTCTGGTGCATACTATAGAGACTCACATAACATTACAGTTTGTATTCCATGCTTTTATTTATCACATTGTATATTTATACAGATTACGCTATATTGTGTTATGTGTTATATTTATTTTAGATTTTCATGCCACTACTATAATACTAGTAATAGGTGGAGACTGCACTGTTCCTGTTCTATAACAAATATATTTATTGCTTGTGTTCACACCTTAGCATATCATCCTTGTTGTTTTGTATACCTAAAAACCAAGGTAAATGTATTTGTTTTTAGATGTACATCTTAATGCAAATTAAACTCTGGAAAGTTTAAAACAAAAGTGTGACTATAACGTTATTTAACAGGTTACAAATAGAACTGGTGTTCACTTTTCTGCCTGGTTTTATTGAACATTGTTCATAACAATTTTACATTAAAGGACCATACTAGTTTCCTTGCCACTATAGGGTCTCTAGGTCCCCCCTGACACTTAGGGTCCCCATCCCGCCGGGCTCTAGGGGGTGGAAGGGGTTAAATCTTACCTGTTTCCCCCCGCTGGGAACTCTCCTCCTCCTTTTCGCCGTCATCGGCTGAATGCACATGCGCAGCAAGAGCCGCACGCGCATTCAGCCAGTCCATAGGAAAGCATTCTCAATGCTTTCCTATGGACGCTGGCATCTTCTCACTGTGAAAATCACAGTGAGAAGTGCAGAAGAGCCTCTAGGGGCGGTCAATGAGACAGCCACTAGAGGCTGGATTAACCCTATTATAAACCAAGCAGTTTCTCTGAAACTGCTATGTTTATAGAAGAAAGGGTTAATCCTAGCTGGACCTGGCACCCAGACCACTTCATTAAGCTGAAGTGGTCTGGGTACCTATACTGGTCCTTTAATATTTTGTGCATGTGAAATTAAAATAAACATAATTTTCTTGAGTTCCCAGTTACGTGGCACCATTGGTGACCATAGTGGAGCTGCAATTAGTAAATCACACTAAACATATGGCACTTTTTTGAACTAAGAGTGATTTCCAAGTATATTTGTTGCTATGATTAAATAGAACACATAATCTGAGTGGTTTATTTGTTCTAATCTAAAATGTTTTAACAACATACCAGATGAATGTAATATTTACCCTATAAAAATATTGCCTAGGATTCACTTTTAAAAAGGTTTGACAAATCAAGCAAAAAATGTTTTGCCAATAATTATAATGTAAGTAGATGTTTGTTTTTTTGTAAGCCTTATATTGAGAAACATTTAAATTAATTGGTTTATGGAAAACAGATCAGATAGGAGACACAGACAAGGGAGAAACAAAATCATACATACAAAGACTAGGATTTTATGGAAAATATTCTCTTCCTGCTGAAGATGAGTTTTACATTTCAAGCTTTTGAAATCTTTAACCTTCAGAGTATACACTTCCTGTGGTCATTCAACAATATTTTTTAGCTTGTATGGTTAAAGGAACACTTTAGGGTTAGGAACGCAAACATGTATTCCTGACTTTATAGTGTTAAAACTACCACCTAGCCCCGCAGCCCTCCCTAAATAAAATACACTTTTACCTTTACTCCAGTCTGCTGCTGGCTCTGCCCCTGATCTGCCTGCTTGGCTGACATCATCAGAAGTGATTCTCTGAGCCAATCACAGTGTTTTCACATAGGATTGGCTGAGACTGTCAAGGAGGCAGATCAGGGGCAGAGCAGGCTCAAGCCAAACACAGCCCTGGCCAATCGGCATCTCCTCATAGAGATACTTTAGGCATCTCTATGAGGAAAGTTCAGTGTCTCCAAGCAGAGGGTGGAGATACTGAATGGCAGTGCTGCACAGTGTGCACTACTACCCCTGGAAGCACCTCTAGTAGTCATCTGAGGAGTGACCAGTGGAGGTAACCCTAGGTTGTAATGTAAACACAGGCTTTTACTCTGAAAAAAAAACAGTGTTTACTGCAAAACGCCTGAAGGGAATGCTTCTACGCACCAGAACAAATACAATAAGCTGTAGTTGTTCTGGTGACTATAGTGTCCCTTTGAGGGCAAAGGGATCTAGCATGTGCAGTAGAGATCTCTTTTAGTGGAGGCAAATGTAATTATTCTTTGGACATCATGAATACCAAACAAGAGGGTCTTATCAGGAATACTCAAATAACTTCTGATGCAAGACACCTTTACGTAACCAACTTGAATTAGAGTTATGTTGGACTTTGGGCAGGGTACCCGAATTATATCCATCAATATAAATGGGAGCAGTGCGTTTCCTATGGGTGTTCACCCAAGGATTACTTTAAAAATCATTTTATGCAAGAGATTTAATCGTTATTAAATACTCTCTATTAACGGAAATGTATTCTTATCGTTAAACTTAACTGAACTTTTTTATTCAAACCACCAACTATGCAATAGTTTAAATGCAAACTTTCAGAAACAAAGAACAATACATCACATTTTAGCTATGGCAATATCCAGTCCTATGGCCGGTTTTCATTATCTTTTTCATAAAATACTGAGAATATTGAGCTAAACCAAGATGACTCACAGGTAAAATAATGGAGGACAGGGATGGCAAGTCACACCTGACACACCACTTGTACATGATCCAACACTCCTCAAGCTGTCCATCTATATTAATATTATTATTATTATTATATTATTTAGAAAGCACCAACAAATTCCGTAGCGCTGTACTAATTAACAGTGTATACTGCACAGCGAGTAAGCTGTGTTGCTTGTGTGGCTGATGGCTCCCAACTTCTGCTATGCATTCTACGCAGTACTGTATCTTTTCTATTGGGTAACCTCTCTATACACTTGTATTAACAGTTTTATGAGATAAAGTCATACAAACAGGCACAAGACATCTAAAGAATTCTCAGTTGTGGGATATTTTACTATACTGTTACTGAACTGGCACAATCTAACAGAAGTGTTCTAGACTGGCGTGCAATATCAGTGTTCTCCTTTAACATTCTTAGCAAGCTGCGGTAAGCATATGGTGCTTAGATCACTCATAAAGTCTCCTTTACATAGTGGTATCATAAATATACAGCCAATTAATATGTGAATCCCAGCAAATTATTGCAGCAGGTGCAGAGCAATAACAGCATAATCTGCTTGCAGCAAGTCTGTCACAATTAACAATTATTTG